TGACTAATCTCATTATGTCGGTCTGGGGCTCCGCGCATACATGTCTGAACCTCAATTATGTTGTGATCTGAGTACATGTATATTGTTTTTGATATGGTGACATTTCTTATCAGATCATCATTGTTAGTGAAGATGAGGTCTAGTGTATTCTCCAGTCTAGTAGGCTCTATTATTTGCTGGTTTAAATTGAATTTTGTGCAGAGATTTAAAAGCTCGTGTGAGTGTGAGTTTTCATCAGAGCTGCCTCCTGGTGTTATTACTGCAACAGTATTATTTGCTATATTCCTCCATTTTAGGTGCCTTAAGTTGAAATTCCCCAGGAGCAAGATGTTGGGTGCAGGAGCTGGAAGATTTTCCAGACAGTGGTCAATTTTTAACAGCTGTTCCTGGAATTGCTGGGATGTTGCATCCGGAGGCTTGTAGACTACCACAATGACTAGGTTTTGGTTCTCGATCTTTACTGCTAAAACTTCCACTACATCATTTGAGGCATTAAGCAGTTCTGTGCAAACAAGTGACTCTGCAATGTACAGGCCAACCCCTCCCCCCCTTTTTTTTGCCTGTTCACTCTGTCACATCTGTATAGGTTGTAACCTGGGATCCATATTTCGTTGTCCAAGTGATCCTTTATGTGGGTCTCAGTGAAAGCCGTGAACATTGCCTTTGCCTCTGCAAGCAGTCCATGGATGAAAGGTATTTTGTTGTTTGTTGCTGGCTTTAGACCCTGTATATTTGCAAAGAAGAATGTCATCGGACTGGTGGTATTGTTGGTACTGGGGGGGGGATTTTTTTTCCGGCATTAGTATCTGTATCTGTTGGTTTGGAGTGGAGGCCATCGACTGTGGTTCCACTCCAGGAATGACTGGATTTGGTGTACGATTTCTGCCATTTCCTGCCAGTTTTTTTTCCTTCCTGGCTCTAAAAAACCTCTCCCTCTTGAGTGGCTGTGGCTACCCAGGTTTTCCCATGGCCTGGATGTTTTGTATCTTTTTGTCCCCTTTAGATGGTGTGCCTGGCAATTTAAGTTATAGCAGTCTTTCCTGTACTGAAGAGGTACACATTTCAGGGTGAAAAAGCTTACAGGAAGGGAGTTTGCATTTTCCTCTTGTCATACGTCATATGTCATACTAAATTTAAAAGAGAAACTTTCGTTTTTCTTTTTGGACCACCCTGCCTTGGTGGGATACGGCCGGTGTGTTGAAAGTAAGAAGAAGATATCGCTCTTAAACATCATATCTCCACTGCCTCTAGCCTCCTTACTGTGGCATTCAAAACTCATGACTCATACCCATATAAATATGTTGATACCACTGTTCTCTGGTACATTCCCTCTTTTGCCTCTTTCTTTCCACATATGCTTCAGTACATGATGTAGTTTTTTTTCATCATCTGTGGCTCATCTCATCATTCATATTTGGAACATCATCATTTAGATATTTGGAAGTGGACACATCTGCTGATGTGTCCACTTCCAAATATCTAAATACATCTACTTCCTCCATACTTCCTCCATCCAATCTAATATTTAGTCTGTCATTGCCTAGACTTTTTCTTTCCCTCATCATATTGCTCTTTTCTTTTACATCTTCTTCTTTCAACAAACCAGCTGTATCCCACCAAGGCAGGGCGGCCCAAAAAGAAATATGAAAGTTTCTCTTTTTAAATTTAGTAATTTATACAGGAGAAGGCTTTACTAGCCCCTTGCCCCTGGCATTTTAGTTGCCTTTTGCAACACGCATGGCTTACGGAGGAAGATTTCTGTTCCACTTTCCCATGGAGATAAGAGGAAATAAAAAGGAACAAGAACTGGTAAGAAAATAGAAGAAAACCCAGAGGGATGTGTGTATATATATGCTTGTACATACATGTGTAGTATGACCTAAGTGTAAGTAGAAGTAGCAAGACGTACCTGAAATCTTGCAGAGAAAAGACGCCAGCAATCCTACCATCATGTAAAACAAGTACAGTACAGGCTTCTGTTTTACACTCACTTGGCAGGATGGTAGTACTTCCCTGGGCAATTGCTGTCTACTTTCTTTTACATACCTTCCCAAATTCTTCCACCAATTTTTGCAACTTGTCTTTGACTTCCACCAAAAGACTTGTGCCATCAGCAAAGAGCATCTCTGGTAACTCCCACTTTGTATCAGATCCAGCTTCTTTTAATCCTACATCTCTCCCTAACACTCTAGCATTCACTTATTTTACAACTCCATCTATAAATATGTTGATACCACTATTCTCTGGTTCATTCCCCATTTTGCCTCTTTCTTTCCACATATGCTTCAGTACATGATGTAGTTTTTTCTCCTCATCTGTGGCTCACCTCATCTGTGGCTCACCCATCTGCTGATGTGTCCACTCCCAAATATCTAAATACATCTACTTCCTCCATACTCCCTCCATCCAATCTAATATTTAGCCTGTCATTACCCAGACTTTTTCTTTCCCTCATCATATTGCTCTTTTCTTTTATCTTCTTTCAACAAACCGGCTGTATCCCACTGAGGCAGGGTGGCCCAAATGAAAAATGAAAGTCTCTCTTTGAATTTAGTAATTTATACAGGAGAAGGTGTTGCTAGCCCCTTGCCCCTGGCATTTTAGTTGCCTCTTACAACACACATGGCTTACAGAGGAAGAATTCTGTTACACTCACCCATGGAGGTAAGAGGAAATAAACAAGAACAAGAACTAATAAGAAAATAGAAGAAAACCCAGAGGGGTGTGTGTATATATATGCTTGAAAATGCATGTGTACTATGACCTAAGTGTAAGTAGAAGTAGCAAGACGTACCCGAAATCTTGCAGAGAAGACACCAGCAATCCTACTGTTATGTTGGTTGTGTTGTTGTCCCTTATTACTTTGATAGTAAGGTTTCTCACTACATATTCTAGTGTGGGGGTAGCTTTTACATAAAGCTTTAACCTTAGTAGTCTAGGGTAATACATTCATGATTGATCATCCTCAGTGTCTCTGAAATCCTTTCACCAGCTCTCTTCACAGGTTATTTAAACTACTACTATAAAAATATAACTGTATTCTAAATAGATATGTACATAATATACAATTACAGCACTCACTTATTCAAAACATAAGCCTGCACACCCCTTAGCTGCTCTTCTAAGACAGCCCACATGGTGGATCTGGACAAATTGCCCTTCTTTCTTCTGGACCAATCTCTGGACAAACCAGTGTTTTGACACACTTTAGTCACCCTGGGTATGATGGCCACAACTTAAGTTATAAAAACCCACCCCTGGGGCACACATAATGCCCAAAAAATAGAAAGAAGGACCCAGAGGTCCTACCAGCTTAAAGTTAACAGAGAGAGAGGGAGAGGGAGGAGCCTAGCTAAGCTCCTCCCACTCCCACCAAACAACAAAAGACTGTTGCCAAGCACAATTATGTAGTTACCACAACTCTACTGCACTTATTTTAAATTTACAAAAGAAATACAACTTTATAAACTACTTATTTAAATTGTGTGTTTGTGTGTTTATAGTATAACCTATTATATTGAGAAAAATAGGCTTGACCAGCTGCCTCTCAGTCCCTAAGTGATCTTCCCTTAGGGCCATTTAAGTGCTGTGTCCTCATCAATTCAATATAATTAGGTATTCCAGAGTAACTGCTATTTATAAATACATGTTGGGTCCTATAGCCCCATAACACCTACCATCATGTAAAACAAGTACAATACAGGCTTCTGTTTTACACTCACTTGGCAGGATGGTAGTACTTCCCTGGGCAGTTGCTCTCTACTCTCTTTTACATACCTTCCCAAATTCATCCACCAATTTTTGCAACTTGTCTTTGAAATCCACCAAAAGACTTGTGCCATCAGCAAAGAGCATCTGTGATAACTTCTGCTTTGTATCAGATCCAACTTCTTTTAATCCCACATCTCTCCCTAACACTCTAGCATTCACTTATTTTACAACTCCATCTATAAATATGTTAAAAGACCATAGTGACATCACACATCTCTGACAGAGTCCTACTGCATACCCAAACCTGGGCCTCACTCATTGCATAAAAAATTCTTATCTGCTTTTAGTAAACCTACCTTATCTCATACAATTGTAACATCTACCACATGACTCATCTAGCCATGAATAAATCAATCTCCTACTCTTTTCCAGAAAAAAAAAATGGCCTAAGAACCCTAACCTATGCTTGAATATATATAGTATGCATAATGATAATACAACATATTGAAGTATGAAAAACTGCTGTCTGTAAAGGGTTCAGTGAATCACTTAGGAATATATTTTCTCATGTAATGCACCCCCTTTTGAAAGTATTGGACTTCTTTACCACTTTTATACAGTACAGTGTTCATGTATAAGGCAAGGAAGTAAATAGGTACTTGAAGAAAAAGTCAAAGGTAACCCTGAGTTAGAAAATATATTCCAGTATACTGTTCTCTACAGTCATCTGCTTGATTATTATTTTTTAAATTGCCTTTTATAAACAGAGCAGATTGCAAAACCTTCCTTTATTTTATTTATTCTTAAGTTATAAATGACTGTTTATTTCATGTCCTAGCCAGGTCTCTGTTAAGAGCTATGAAAGATTATTTTTATTATATTCATGGAAGCACTATATTCATAAGAATTATTCAGTGTTGTATGACAGATTGCCACCCCTAAGCTTCTCCTTCATAAAATGTCTGGAGCTGCCCCAATAGTGGTCCATTATACATTGAGTTGTTGATATATCATGGGATACATAGAAGTTGACACTTGGGGTAATTATAATTACCCTGCAGTTTTCATATAGTATCACTATATAGCACTGTACCTATTTACTTTCTTGCTTTATATCTGAATAATGTACAGTACTGTACTGGTACCAGCAATATGTCTCTTTAAATTACATAACTAATAATACCATTTTTTATTTAAATGCTTGATCTGATATATTAAAGCCTATTTTACTGAATTAAAAGTACTATACAGTATCAGTTGCCCTTACTTGATCCAATTTAATTCCTTAGCCACTACGCGATCTGGCAGTAGTGTCAGGAGAGGTACTGCGCCTAGAATGCGTAGTGCAGGCGGACCCACCCGTACAGGTGACATGGTCCAAAGGGGGCAGCATCCTCCAGAATGGACCAGACTACCAGATAGTCTACAGAAACGGTGTTTGTAGACTCATCATTCCCCAGGTCTTTCCAGGTTAGAATTCTTTCTGGGATTACTTATTATGTAATTATTATTGTTAATCTTGTAAAAACAAATTATATTACTGTATGGTCAATAAATGTGATAAATCAACTACAGCACTTGGCAGCATCCGTGCCTACAGTTCAAATTTAAAACAGCATAGAATTACAGGCTTTGTTAGCCTGATATTACCATCTACATCTTTTGTGGTTGTGTGCATATTTATGTATTTTTTTTAATGCACCAGCTGTCTCCCACCAAGGCAGGGTGACCCAAAAAAGAAGAAATATTTTCATAAAGTTTTTTTTCTTTTTACATTTAGTAATTTATACATGTGAAGTGTTACTAGCCCCTTGCTCCTGACATATTAGTCTCCTTTTATGACGTGCATAGTTTACTGAGAAAGGTTTTTGGAACCTGATGAGCTGTTGGAGTGTGAGCAGGGTAATATTTTGTGAAGGGATTCAGGGAAACTGGTTAGCCAGACTTCAGTCCTGCAGGTGGGAAATACAATGCCTGCACTGTAAAGGCAGTTTGGAGGGACATCTAAACTGTCGTATCTGAGTGCCTCTACAAAGACAGTGATTGTGTATGAGTGATGGTGAAAATGTTGAATGATGATGAAATTTTTTCTTTCTTTTGGGGTTTTTCTTTCATTTTGGGTCACCCTGCCTCAGTGGGAAACGGCCAACGTGTAAAAAAAAATACTATATATGTATATGTACATATTGTTTATTTTTAAACATGCTGACCATTTCCTATTGAGGCAGGGTGACTCAAAAAAGAAACACTTTCACTCTCATTATCACTATCACTGTCTTGCCAGAGGCATGCAAATACAACAGTTCAGATGTCATTCCAAACAGCAAATATCCTCACCCCTCCTTTGGAGTGCAGGCATTGTGCTTCCCACCTCTAGGACTCAAGTCCAGCTAACTGGACTTTTTTTTTTTTTTTTTCCTTTTTTTTTTTAACACTGCTGTCTCCCACCAAGATAGGGTGACCTGAAAAAGAAACATATTGATTGTAATATACACTGCATAGTATATCAACATTACCCTTATTATAATTTCAGAGGATGAAGGAGTATTCACGTGCACTGCTGTTAATCTACTTGGGATGGACTCCACTAGTGCTACTGTCTGCATCACAGGTGAGAAGAAGTAATCTTCAAGACGAGTTGAGTCTCCTTCTGCTACTACTGCTGCGGGTACTTCTGATGCTGGGGCTGCTACAGTCTTCTGTCAAAGACTTGTATGGTGGTGGTGGTATTGTAGTAATGAATGATTTCAGTGCTAGATATTTCTCTATGTAAGCTCTCTGTCTTTAATTAAGTCAGTTTCACTCCTCTTAATCTGGCCTGGGTACTGTTTTACTTTTAAGTTCTATTAATATAAGAAACTAAAATAATTAGTATGTAAATGTATCAGTTTTGTAATTGGTGTTGGTAATGGCATTTGAATTTTGTTTTACCAAAATAATTATTTTAGAGATGTACTGTATTACAATTAGGTATCAGAACTTTAGAAAAATTCTTTTCCTCACACTGGATTGTAAAGATAAACAGTGAAATGCATTTAGAACACAGAATATTTTAAAGGTCACACACATGATAAGAGGTCATTTTAAATATGATTAATAATGAACTTGACCTTTTGTTTCGAGACATTTTTAATAAATAAATATATATATATATATATATATATATTATATATATATATATATATATATATATATTATATATATATATATATATATATATATATATATATTATATATATATATATATATATATATATATATATATATATTATATATATTAATACATGTATTATATATATATTATATTATATATATACAGTATTATATATATACACACACACACACGTACGTACGTACATTTAACATCAGTTCAAATATATTGGAAATTTAATAGACAAAAACTTGCATTTTACTCTAGTCAGATTCTCTTTGGGCAGGAGCTGACTTTTTTTTTTTTTTTTTTTTTTTTTTTTTTTTTTTTTTTTTTTTTTTTTTTTTTTTTTTTTTAAGGTTCCTAGTCAAATATTGTATAGGCATCTGTGATCTTCTCTCTGACCTGGTTTAAAATGATTGTGGAATTTTTCAATTTCATAAGTGTTTAAGTTAAAATCTTTGTAGCTTTAGTTATTTCTGAGCCATGAGCACAGTGTTGATGATACGCTTCATTTGCATTTGAGCAAATCTTGTTCTTGTATATAATTATTGTTTTTGTCTTCCATGCAAATCTTACAAAGTGCCTTCAGTATTGCATTCATGCACAGCTCTATCCATGAGATACTCATCCCTCCTTCTAATATCATTTCTTTTTCCTGCTTCCTTTTCTCAGTCTCAAGGTTTAAAATTTTAAGCTGTTCTAATTGCATGTATGACAATTGTCTGCTGCAAGAATAAGATAAACATTTGTACTCTTATGTACAATTGTAGTCCTTAATCATTTTCTGGCAATGTGAAGCATCATGCCTCTAGAACCTGCTGAGCTAAGGTATCTTGGTCTGATAAAACTTTAAATTTAGTTACCATTAATTTTTATTTTAATATGCCTGAAAAGATGTTTCAGTTCATGTCATGTGGATTGGTTTTTGGTATATCAAGTTAAAAGAATATTTAAGGCATGATGCTAATGTCAAATTTACTGCTGTATATATATGCCAAGAATTAATGTTTCCTTCTTCAATTAAACTATTTTGAGAATTAGAAATTACATTTAATTTTATGTTACTAGGAAGAAAATGAACCATTTTTAATAACAGCTGTTAAAAACCTGCCCTTTGTTAACAAGAGTACAGCATTGTTTTAGGTTATGCTTAGAATAGGATAGATTTCCTAAACTTTATACTAAGATTCCCAAAAGATACATTAAAGTTCCAAGTAATTTTTATAAATGGGGGTCATGATGTTTATAATAGTACTAAAAAATAAAAAGATTCTTTTAATTTTTGTGCACTATCTGTTATGTTACTGTTTCCAGTTTTTGTATATTTCTCACCGTTACTGAAAAATTGAGGGAGCAGTGTCTTGTGATTTGTGCTACAAGTTTGTTCATCATATAGATCAGTTAGCTCTTGTTTCTAGCTGGTAGGTGACTATCTAGCCCCCTATTGTGGAGGCCTGATTCAATAAAATTGTATAACTACCGGTCAGTTTTCTTGCAGTATTCCAATAGTTATTGACTTTAAGAGAAAAAAAATCTGAATGGTGCTAAATTGGTTTAATTATTAAAAATTTGCAGCATTTTTCTTCAAATTTTTATTCTGACTAGATATATTTTACACACATACTGTATACTGTGTGTTTGTGAATATGCATGAATACCAGATATGGATTTTTCATAAAATGGGGCTTATTTTGGAAAACAATTTTGATTTAAACTCTTTTGTGTTTTTCTTATTTTTTTGTCATGTGCTACCTTTAGTTATTCACATGACCATACTATAATATATATATATATATATATATGAGGGTATCAAATGATTTAGATAAAGAAAAATTGGATATCAAATTGGGGAGGAGGAGTATGGAAGAAGTGAATGTTTTCAGATATTTGGGAGTTGACGTGTCAGCAGATGGATTTATGAAGCATTGAGGTTAATCATAGAATTGATAAAGGAAAAAAGGTGAGTGGCACATTGAGGTATATGTGGAGACAAAAAACGTTATCTATGGAGGCAAAGAAGGGAATGTATGAAAGTATAGTAGTACCAACACTCTTATATGGGTGTGAAGTTTGGGTTGTAAATGTTGCAGCGAGGAGGCAGTTGGAGGCAGTGGAGATGTCCTGTCTAAGGTCAATGTGTGGTGTGAATATTATGCAGAAAATTCGGAGTGTGGAAATTAGGAGGTGTGGAGTTAATAAAAGTATTAGTCAGAGGGCTGAAGAGGGGTTGTTTAGGTGGTTTGGTCATTTAGAGAGAATGGATCAAAGTAGAATGACGTGGAGAGCGTGTAAATCTGTCAGGGAAGGAAGGCGGGGTAGGGGTTGTCCTCGAAAAAGTTGGAGGGAGGGGGTAAAGGAGGTTTTGTGGGCGAGGGGCTTGGACTTCCAGCAAGCGTGCGTGAATGTGTTGGATAGGAATGAATGGAGACGAATGGTATTTAGGACCTGACGAGCTGTTGGAGCATGAGCAGTGTAATATTTAGTGAAGGGATTCAGGGAAACCGGTTATTTTTATATAGCCGGACTTGAGTTCTGGAAATGGGAAGTACAATGCCTACACTTTAAAGGAGGGTTTCGGGATATTGGTAGTTTGGAGGGATATGTTGTGTATCTTTATACGTATATGCTTCCAAACTGTTGTATTCTGAGCACCTCTGCAAAAACAGTGATTATGTGTGAGTGAGGTGAAAGTGTTGAATGATGATGAAAGTATTTTCTTTTTGGGGATTTTCTTTCTTTTTTGGGTCACCCTGCCTCGGTGGGAGACTGCCGACTTGTTGAAAAAAAACAAATTATGTATATGTGTATGTATATATAATTATATATATATATATTTTTTTTTTTTTAACAAGTCGGTCGTCTCCCACCGAGGCAGGGTGACCCAAAAAAGAAAGAAAATCCCCAAAAAGAAAATACTTTCATCATCATTCAACACTTTCACCACACTCACACCCTTTTCACTTCTTTTGCAGAGGTGCTCAAAATACAACAGCTTAGAAGCATATACGTATAAAGATACACAATATATCCCTCCAAACTGCCAATATCCCAAACCCCTCCTTTAAAGTGCAGGCATTGTACTTCCCATTTCCAGGACTCAAGTCCGACTATATGAAAATAAAACCCGGGTTTCCCTGAATCCCTTCACTAAATATTACCCTGCTCACACTCCAACAGATCGTCAGGTCCCAAGTATCATTTGTCTCCATTCACTCTTATCTAACACGCTCATGCACGCTTGCTGGAAGTCCAAGCCCCTAGCCCACAAAACCTCCTTTACCCCCTCTTTCCAACCCTTTCGAGGACAACCCCTACCCCTCCTTCCTTCCCCCATAGATTATTGCTTTCCGTGTCATTCTACTTTGATCCATTCTCTCTAAATGACCAAACCACCTCAACAACCCCTCTTCTGCCCTCTGACTAATGCTTTTATTAACTCCACACCTTCTCCTAATTTCCACACTCCGAATTTTCTGCATAATATTTACACCACACATTGCCCTTAGACAGGACATCTCCACTGCCTCCAACCGTCTCCTCGCTGCTGCATTTACCACCCAAGCTTCACATCCATATAAGAGTGTTGGTACTACTATACTTTCATACATTCCCTTCTTTGCCTCCATAGATAACGTTTTTGACTCCACATATACCTCAACGCACCACTCACCTTTTTTCCCTCATCAATTCTATGATTAACCTCATCCTTCATAAATCCATCCGCCAAAAACGTCAACTCCCAAGTATCTGAAAACATTCACTTCTTCCATACTCCTCCTCCCAATTTGATATCCAATTTTTCTTTATCTAAATCATTTGATACCCTCATCACCTTCCTCTTTTTCTATGTTCACTTTCAACTTTTTACCTTTACACACATTCTCAAACTCATCCACTAACCTTTGCAATTTTTCTTTAGAATCTCCCAAAAGCACAGTATCATCAGCAAAAAGTAACTGTGTCAATTCCCATTTTGAATTTGATTCCCCATAATTTAATCCCACCCCTCTCCCGAACACCCTATCATTTACTTCTTTTACAACCCCATCTATAAATATATTAAACAACCATGGTGACATTACACATCCCTGTCTAAGACCTACTTTTACCAGGAAGTATTCTCCCTATCTTCTACACACCCTAACCTGAGCCTCACTATCCTCATAAAAGCTCTTTACAGCATTTAGTAACTTACCACCTATTCCATAAACTTGCAACATCTGCCACATTGCTCCTCTATCCACTCTATCATATGCCTTTTCTAAATCCATAAATGCAATAAAAACTTCCCTACCTTTATCTAAATACTGTTCACATATATGCACAGTGGACCCCCGGTTAACGATATTTTTTCACTCCAGAAGTATGTTCAGGTGCCATTACTGACCGAATTTGTTCCCATAAGGAATATTGTGAAGTAGATTAGTCCATTTCAGACCCCCAAACATACACGTACAAACGCACTTACATAAATACACTTACATAATTGGTCGCATTCGGAGGTGATCGTTATGCAGGGGTCCCATGTATATAATATATATATATATATTATATATATTTATATATATATATATATTTCGTCGTGCGTCAGGTGTTTAACCGTTGTGGGATCTGATAGCAAGGTGTTGGCCAGACCCCTTATATACCTTCCTTGGATGCTTTACTTTCATAGTTCCTTGATAATGTGAGTAGTCACGAAAGCACTTGGAATTTCTCTATTCTTTCAGAGTGGTTGTTTTGCATATGTATATATATTATATATATATATATATAGTAGTAAGGGAGAAAAAGTTAGCATATGAGAAGTTTTTACAAAGTAGAAGTGATGCAAGGAGGGAGGAGTATATGGAGAGAAAGAGAGAGGTTAAGAGAGTGGTGAAGCAATGTAAAAAGAGAGCAAATGAGAGAGTGGGTGAGATGTTATCAACAAATTT